CCCACCCACCATGTCCACGCCTGCACTCAGCTTCTCAGCAAGGAGAGAGTTGCACAAGTATGTGCATCGGTGTCCAACTTTCTCTGTCCTCTCACCTTGTTTACATTCCTCATCAGCTTCCCCCACAGTGACTTCAAAATCTTCACCACTTTTTCAGTTGATGGCCCTGCCACCATCCCTACAACATATCCACGTACACACACACATAGCATTTGCCTACACTAATGGGGCCATGCTGGAAGCATTGTCTTGCAAGTTCTTCTCTTAATATTCAATTTCAGGAATCTTTCAATGGAAGCTTTAAACAAAGACTGTGGATTCTTGGACACCACCAAAGGCCTGCTAAATTAGACTCTCTGGGAGAGAGGTGGGTGATCTGCAAGATTTTGAAATTGCTGCTCTAGGCAGCCTCTCCCATTCCAGGGACTTGACTGCCACCACATGCTGATAGCCTCCAAATTTCTATTTCTAACCCAGATCTCCCCTAAGTCTCAGATACATATATTCAATTGCTAGTTTTCACAGTGTTTCTCTTCATAAGTCCTGCAGACATCCTAAATGCAGGATGACCAGACTTCTGTTAAAAAAAAAAAAAAGTAAAAAACTCAAACCACACCACAGGAGCAAAGGCATCTAATTTTCCTTCTCTGTTGTCTATCAGATTCCCCCTGAAATGACCAAAGAAACATAAAAATGGGAAAAATCAGCATCACAGTAGGGTACTAACCTAGGATGCCATCCGTATAGTAACATTTTTTAAAAGTTTACTTGGGAGAGATTGGAGGAAGCTATCAAAGGTCAGCTTGCAACCAGTGTTCCTAAGAAAAAAACAGTGTGTCACAGAATCATTGCAGGAGACCTTAGGAAGATTCCACCAGCTCCTCTCCAACTTGCACTGGAGGTGAGAAGCCCAAGGTAGGAGAGTGCAACACTGAGTGGGATCTCTTTTTCTAGATGCCTGGTGAGGCCCAACCATGTGCTTGGTGGGCACCTGAGGCAGACATGGGTGCTGCAGTGGGGCATCTCATGGGTGCCCTTGAAATGTAACAGGAGGCTAACTGCCTGCCATAGGGCTGAGCCAGAGAAAGAGTCAGCCCTCAGCTTTTCCTAACACAAAAAAGAAAACTTGCAGGAGTGGAAGATCCTGTCCCTGGGTCTCATGGCTCTCAGGCTGCTGGGTTACCAAACTGGCACTGCAAATTGGTACTAACCAGGCCTCTAGCTAAGATCAAATAGGGGGACTGTAACAATGCCAGGTGGTGTGGTGGAGGTCCCTGTGCCAATCGCAGAAGACCAGCCACACCTGTTTGTTGTCAGTGGGTGTACAAGACTTAGCACCCACAGGGTCCCTGCTGGCTGGATGTTGAGCACGGGTCACCTAGACCAGCCCACCTCAGTATTTCTAATGTTTCCTCTGCAGAGATTTAGGGCACACGCTGACAAAAAGGTGAGACCTGTCTGGGCTCCACAAGGGGAGGAGAGGAGAGGAGAAATTCTTCTTTGGGTGAGACTCACTTTGGTGCTAAGATGTCCCAGTTACTGACAGATCGTGGCATCCCCATCAGTGGCAGGAAGAGCCAAAGGGTCACACCCCTGCTCCAGGCCCAGCATCTGACCCAGGCACTGTCGCAGAGCCCCCGCCCCCCGCCACGCCAGCCTGGTCTGCAGGTAAAGCCCCTTCCCCACAGCGAGGTGTGGAGTCCATCCTGCCTCTTAGAAATTCTGCTGTTGAAACGACAGTTCCAGTCTTCCCTTCCTTGTGCAGAAAACGTGTTTTCAAACAGAACATAAAAGATTTCATCTCATTTGCGACAGTTTCTGAACACACCATCATTTTAGGTCCCACTAAGGAAGAAAAATCTCTGCCGTTTAAGCTATGACAAAATATTCTAATACTTAGCATTTTTGTTGTATTAATTGAGATACCTTTGTAAGGCTTATAGAGGTATAGAATTTAAAATCATACACCATACTTGTGCATATAAAAAAAGGCAAGAAAGAAACAACTTTGATTCTGCTCCTGAGTCCTACTCGTCTATTGCCCTTTCCACTCAACAGGACTCCGTGCCACCAGGAGTGCCAGGGATGCAGCATTTCTTAATAAGGGAAAACCAATAGACACCATTTGATTATTGGTACTACTAATTTGGATAATTGCAGACTCGAGTATGATTTTGTTTAAAGTAGCTTAAATGTCTTTTAATGGAATTTTAAAATTGTGTGTAAGTTCCAATACATAAAGAGCATAAAAATGAGAAAAACCCAAAAGAGAAAAGTCAGAAAAATTCTCATTAAAAAGAGAAATTATACAATATAGTAAGATCATACAATAGACTAGAATAGAAGAAAGATCACAAGAACTAAGCAAAAAATATAAATATGTTTCTTTCTTAAAGACTCAAATTTAAGAAAAATAAGTAAATTCAAATTATCTGCTAGCTTCATATCCTGTTATACATCAAAAAGGCTAAAAACAAAAGAATAAACAAAAATATATAGAAATATTCAAACAAAAAGAATAGAGTTGGCAATATTCAGAGTTTAAGATTAAAAGAATTAGAAAGGACAGGAGTGTATTATTTCATATTTATAGAATATCTATAGGCACCATATAGCTATAATAATAATGGAGTTTTATGTAAACAAATAGCACGGTATTGACATAAATAATACAAGAATTGTTTGAAATATAGGAAGAGAGTTACAGAAAGTCAATTTTCTTAGGAAACAGCTCACCTATATCACCACCTTTGACAGATCAAATATAGGAGAATTCAAACTACATAACAAAATGGATTTAATAGGTAAAATAGTGCTCATCCACAGAGAATACATCATGTTTTAAAAATCTATAGTGTTTATAAAATATTATATATTAGATAACTCAGTAAATTACAAAATGTAGAAATGGTAAATATTACATTTATATCACAATGCAATAAAACTAACATTATTTGCAAATATATAAACAATAACATCAAAGCCTTACACACTGGGAAAAGAAAATTCTTCTAAATAAGGCAGGTCAAAAATACGTAATTTTAGACTAACAAAAAAGACGTTGAGAATTCCACATAACAATGTATTTTATGCTGATCAAGCAGTACTCAGAGGTAGATTTATACCTATAAATAAATTTATTAATAAGTAAGAAAAATGAAAGTTTACATTCCACTCAAGAAGTTAGAAACTGTGCAAAGTAATTAAAGGAAAGCATGAAGAAGAAATTAAGGAAGGAAAGTAAAATTAAAAGCCGAGGTACCAGAGTCAGAGAGAAAGGAGTCGAATCTCAGTTTCCCCACTTGTTAGTAGAGGGATCATTACCAGGCCTCCTGAAGAATCCGTTTTCTCATACATAACTTGAGGTTATTAAAAGAATCTCCCCTTGAGGGTTGTTGCAAGGAAATAAGATGACATGTATTAATAGCTAAGCACAGTACCTGGCTGGCATTTTGTGGTAAACACTTGATGAAGTGTTGGACATCACAGCGCCACTTGGTTTCGAACATTTCAGAACTCAACCAGTCCCCCGGGACGATGACAGGCCAACACCGAGGCACCTCTGTATTAGTTTCGGAGAAAAAACAGGCCAGCTGACAAACTCAAGGGCTGCTTGGTGCTATTGTTAAAAAGAAAGAAAGAAAGAAATGTCAAAGGATAAACTATAAATACACAAATTTACAAACGAGCAAGGGACCTATGGGTACAGCTTTGGAGAAGAAAGCTCTTTAAAACTCTAGGCTGGTAAGTTATTAAATTCCAATGAAATGTATCATTTGCTAGTAAAATATAAATTACTAAAATTTACACAATACTTCAGAATAAAACCCAGGATTATATAAACTCTAATACTTCAGGATTTTCAAGGAATTAGCTCCAAAAGAGCATCAACCGAAAGGATTTTTTCTGGGTGGATTCTTTTAAATTTTCAAAGAAAATATAATTACCATTATATTTAAGCTATTGCTGAACAGAGGAAAAGAAAACGTTTTCTTTCTCTTCCTCATTTATTCTGTGAAACTAGCATAAACTCAATACCAAAATATGACAGACTACAAAAACTGGAAAGTAAAATCACTTTCTCGTATGAATAAATATGTACAAATCCAAAATAAAGTATTTTTATTTTTATTAATATATTCAATTTTATCAATATAGTCAAATAATAATCCACTATAGCCAGGAATACAGGTATTATAGGAATATAGAAAGATCTTATTGTTAAGAAATCAGTTAATCTGATTAGTAACATTGAGAGGTGGTTAATAATTAATAGTTAATAATTATTCATAATTATTTGAAAACTTATTTGTAATTGCATAGAATACCTGCTGAAGAATGCACAAGAAACTAGTAACAGTTGATGCTGGAGAGGAAAATGATATTAATAAGGGACAAGTATGTGAAAGAGATTTACTTTTTACCATATACCAATAATAATTACTCAAAAATAATATTTTAAAAACTAAAAATTAAATAATTATTCACTCATGTTTGAAGTGACATTGATTGTAAAAGTCATATGTAATAAACTTTAAAAAGTTTTATAAAACACTCAAAAATGTAAGATATTATATGATCCTTATAGTCTGTGTGCTTATAAAATAAGCAACTAAAATATCACTTTTAAAAAAATAAGTTGAACCTACCACACACCTACTGACAAGTTTAGTTTTATTTCATTTTGGTTATTTAAAAAACATGAGTTGTGGGGGTTTTTTAATATGATTCCTGGGTGAAAAAGGTGATAGAGAAGAGAAATGTTGGGTTGGATTTACCCCTGGAGCCCTGCGTATTTTATTTTCTGAAACTCAGGAATGACAAGTCTAACCTTAATAGATTCTGGGGTTTTATTTCCTGGGCTGAATAAAACTCAGAGTTGATATTATCCATAGTAGGATGGGAGAATTATAATAATGTAATTAAGTTTGTGTGAACCCATGCATTTTAGCAAGTGCAGTAGGTTCTTTTGCCCTTTTAAACACAAAATCCAAATAGGATGCTGTATTCATTTTCTATAAGTGCATAATAAATTATCACAAACTTATCAGCTTAAAACAATATCCACTTATGATCTCAGTTTCCATGAGTTAAGAGTACAGACACAGCCTAACTGGGTCATTTGCTCAGGGCTTCACAACACTGCAGCCACGGCGAGACTGGGACTAAGGTCCCATCTGAGGCTCAGGGCCCTCTTCCAAGCTCACGTGGTTTTGGTCAAATTCACTTCCTTGCTGCTATAGAACTCATGTTAGCTCGCTTCTTCAAGGCCAGCAGGAGAGAAAACCTCTTACCTCTAGATCCTCTTTTAAAGGGCTTGCCTCAGAGTTTGAGCATCGACCTAGGAGCCAGGCGATCGGGTTTGATTCCCAGTCATGGCACGTGCCCGGGCTGTGGGCTCAGTTCCCAGTCGGGGGCATGCAGGAGGCAGCCGATCAATGACTCTCTCATCATTGAGGTTTCTGTCTCTGCCTCTTCTTCTCCTTTCCTCTCTCTGAAATCAATAAGGACATATTTCTAAAAAATTAAAAAATAAAATAAAGGGCTTGCTTGATTAAGTCAGGCCACCTGGGTCAGTCCCCCCTTTGATTGGCTGAAAGTCAACTTATTAGAGACTTTAATTACATATTCAAAAATCCTTTCACCTTTGCCAAACATGCAAGGTAACCAACCTAATCACTGTAGCGGCATCCCATCATTCTCAATAGGCCCTTCCCAGACTCAGGGAAGGAGATTACACAGGGTATGAACATGATGGGGCAGGAAACTTGGGACCATCTTAAAACTCTGCCTCCTGCAGATGCTCTCTTACATTTCTGAAGATCGTATCTCAGCTACTAAGACTCACTCTGGGAATCAGTAAGTTAAAATGGCCTGTGAGGTATCCAAGTAAATGATCCACTATCTATGTGCAACACATCATGCCCATTTTTCAGGAAATCTACAACCAAAAAAATAAGTTAAAGCTGAAAAGGACCTCATAGGTCCTCTACTACTAAATCGGGGTCCTCAGACAGAACATTTGTACACAATTCTGTTTTCATGGTTTCCCAGTCAGTATTTTCCAGCATGTTAAACGAGCAGTAACCAGCAATACATGACAGCATGGACAATGCAGCAAAGTGTCAAAAACATTTTTTAAAAGCAAACACAAGCCTCAAAAACCTGTTTGTCTGCGGTCATACGTTTAGGAGGCACAGATCCTACATTCCTCAAGAGAGCCTGAGGACATCCTCACTTCATGAGAGGATAGCCTAATGGCAGAAAAATTCAATTTTGATCCATGCACTCTGGTTAAGAAAGCAAGAACATGTGCAGCTCATCCTCAGAAAAATCCTCCCTCATTTGGTGGGCATTGTAGGATGGCTCAGCTTCAGTTATCTGGAAAATTAATTTACATGGAATGACTGCGGTGAAGCAGCGAGTATGGCTCTTGCGTAAGACTTAAAGAGTGTGTTTTCAGGTTGGGTGCTTCAAGACGAGGAATGTGGAAGGACTCAGAGGTTGAGGTCAAGATCCGGGTAATGAATGTCACTGCTTCAGAGGAGTTGACAAGCAGTGACATCTGGAGCAAGGAGACTGCTTTCTTTCTCAGACTGGAATATCTCTCAGCAGAAGGTTGTTCAACTTTTTAGAGAAAGACATGAGTAACTACCAAGCTGTGGACTCAGCTGCAGAGCCCTGGGGCCACAGCACAGGCCTCTGTTCAGATGCAGCTCTTTCTCAAAGCGGGAGGCTCTCCTGAGCTCCTGAATGCGGTTCATCTGCTTTTAGATGCCCAGGAGATCAGGAAACGGAGATATTTCACATACGAACTTCTCAGTTATTATTTCCAAAGCAATTATGTACTTGCATTTTCTAATTTTCCTTTTGTACCTCTCCCAGCAAAGAAGTAGTAGAAATATTCTCAGGGAAGGTGAGAAGTTCAGAGAAGTAAGCAATATCACGTCTTGAAAGATGTTAAACTACTCCAGCCGCTAATGCGACCAGAACATTGGAAAGATACAGTCAGCAGTTCTATGATTTCCTAATGCTCACAGGTATATTTACAAAATGAATTCTATTTTAATTTATTTTTAATTTTAATTTTTGGTTTTTCAGAGAGAGAGGAAGGGAGAAGGAGAGAGAGAAACATCATTGATGTGAGGATGTGAGAGTGAAACACTGATTGGCCACCTCCCCCATGCCCCCACTGGGGATTGAACCTGCAACCCTTTGATGCACAGGACGATGCCCAACCAACTGAGCCACACCAGTCAGGGCAAATTCTATTTTTAAAGAAGTATTACTGTGCACTTTGTGTCCAAAACTGAGCTCTCGATCTTCTTTCCCAAAGCAGCTCTTTAGCACTCTTCCAAATCTCATACAATAAATGGCAACCCCATCTTTGCCATAAATCTTGGAATCGGCTTTGAATCCTTCCCCTCACCTCACATCTGACCCAGCAGCAAATCCTATTGGCTTCAGAATATATCTAGAATCTAAGCACTTTTCTCCGCTGCTCCCTGCCTGATCTGTGCCACCACCATCTTTTCTCACCAGGATCACTGCCTCAGTCCTTCACCCTTTTCTGTCTCATTTCAGCATAACAGCCCAAGCATTCCTTTAAATGAATTAAAATCGACGTAAATGAAATAGAAGGTGTCCCCCGTCTTATCAGAATCTTCCAATGGCTTCCCATCTCACTCGGGGAAAAGCCGCTATCCTCATGAAGGCTGACAAGGCCCTACAACTGCAACCTTCACCCTCCCCATCTGTGAGCTCATCTCCTGCAACTGTGGGACCCCTTTGCTGCTGTTTAGACCACGTCAGGCTTCTTAGGGGTGAGTCTGCAGGTCAGGGCCTGAGTGCTTGCTGTGCCCTCCACCTGCAATGCCTTGTCCCCAGATATCACTCCCTCCAATTTTGGTTAAGCACCTGCAGCTCCCCCATCCCTGCACCTGGCAGGTAGCATATTCCCGCCGAGGCCTTCCACGGCCACTCTGTAACTCACAGGCCTACATTCCACGCCTCCCTCTCCGGCTTCACTTTTCCCCTTAACGCTCAGCACTACTTCAATCACTTTTTCTCTACTTACTGTCAGACTTATTTTTGTCTGGCGTGTTCCCTGGCTACGTCCCCAAAGTCTAGACCAGTGTCTAGCACATGGAAGGCACTCAACAAATACGTGCTGAAAGGATGAATCAATCAGGGATGAGATTGTATAAAGCGCACCCTCCTTTGGGGGCGGGTCTCTGACTCTGTGCAGCTTCACCCCCCAGCTCAGCTCAGGCCAGTCACGCCTCACCTCCCACACACCTCTGTGTGTCTCTCAACATGCGGGCCCAGCTGTCTGGGATCTCTGACTCTTTCCTGCTTATCTCACTGTTATTTTCATCCTCACTTATTTCACTACCAGTGAGGTAATTACTAGACAGTTTCTTGAAAGTTTATTGGCCATCTGGTATTGCTTCTTTTGTCAATTCAATCAAAATGTGCCCGGGCTCTAAAGATATAAAGACACATTGTTCTAAGCTCTTAAGATAAAAGACGACCATGTTCCCTGCCCTCAAAAAGTTTATGGTCTAGATAGACAAGCAAACAAGTACACAAAATACTTTTGGATTATGAAAAATACTGTGAAGGAAATAAAGAGGAAACGATGACAGAGTAATGGAAAGGGCAGTGCTTAGGGTATTCAGGGAAGGTATCTATGAAAAAAGCATTTGACGAGAAGGTGCTAACAATGATGAACCTTAGCTGAGCCCTATGTTCTTAGAAAACTGTGATACTTAAGAAATTTCCCCAACCTCCCTCCAATTCCCCAACCTTTTGTGTTCTAGAAAACAGCTAACTGCAATGAACCACCATTCCCCACATGGCTTAGGTAAGACTTGCTGTCCAATCTTTCTCATGATTCCCATAAGACTCGTAGGAGACTTCCATGTTTACCTATGACAAAACCAAACCCAGATGGGTCCCTTTTGGCCTGAATCTGTTGCATCATGAATGATAAACAAAGACTTGAGTTGTTTGTCCCCCTGAAAGTAGCTAGAAACAAAAACATTTCCTGTTTCACTGAAACTTCTTGAGATTGAAAAACAATCCCAACTATAAATAACCCCACCTGTAACTTGCCTACTCCTTCCTATAAATATCTAAGGCAAAACCACCCTGCCGAGGCACGCTGTAGTAGGCTGGATAATGAATTACCCCTAAAACATTTCCACATCCTAATCCCTGAAATCTATGAATGTTCCTGTATCTGGAAAAGTGAGATTGAAAATCTCACTTTTGAAAGTGAGATTGAAAAGCTTGAAATGTGGTAATTATCCTGGATTATCTGGGTGGATCCCAAGTATAATTATGAGTATCCTTGTAAGAGGGGAGCAGAAGGAGACTTGACAACAGACAGAGAGAAGGTGGCCCTGGAGTGGAAACAGAGAGCAGCAGAGTCAGAGAGAAGATGCTATACCACGGGTTCTGAAGATAGAGGAAGGGGCCATGAGCCAAGAAATTCAGCTATAGATGTAAGCAAAAAAGCCAAGAAATAGATTCTCCCCTAGACCCTCCAGAGGCAGCACAGCCCATTGAGATTCATTTTGGATGCCTGGACTCCAGAACTAATAAGAGAATAATATTCCATGGTTTTAAATCACTCTTTTTGTGGTTATTACAGCAACCATAGGAAACTAATATACACTCTAATCTTGAGACCTGGGGAGCTTTCCCGATTGCAAAGGCCTGAGTAAAATCTATCTCCTCATTTACTGGGTTTTGTCTTTGACAGTACTCACCAAATGAAGAGCAGGGAGCAGAAGAGTCCAGACAGAGTGAGTAACATGGGTAAAGGTCCTCAGGCAAAGGAGAAGTTGGTGTGTTCCAGAACCTGGGAGATGAGTGTGATTCATGATGACCAAGTGAAATGATAAGAGCCTGATCCTTCAGGGCCTTGGGCCATGGTAGGGAATTTGGATTTTATTATACTTGTGATGGGAAATTGTTAGGAAATATTGAGCCATAAAGAGTAGAGGTGGGGAGATCACTTAGTCCTGGTAAGAGATGATGGTAGCCCCATAATGTGGGAAGAATTTAGAAACAGGACTAGATGAATCCAATGGTGTTTCTGTAAGGGTTGTAATATGAAGTAGCACAGTCCACTTAGGATAACTGGAGGAAGATTAGCTAAAGAGGGTATTTGTAAAGGTGTGGGCAAGGTATGGCTAGTCAAAACCACAAAAGAGAGTGCACTACCCTGAAGCTTACATCAGTGCCAGGCCTAAAAGGAAAGGGGGAGAAAGCAGTTTCCAGAGCCTGGAAGAAAGGGCAACATAGACAAGAGCAGTGGTCTTCAGTAGAGGGGCATGGCCATGCAGAGGGGACCCTGACCTTACCCTCCCCTCTCCCTCTGACCTCCTGCTGAGGCTCTCTATTGTCAAACCCAAATGCAAACCAGAGGACAAAAGAGCTTACTGGTGAGGCCCACACAGATCAGCCTCCTTGGGCAGAGAAGACAGTAGGCAGGGACAGAGAGTGGGCCTGGAAGGAAAAAAGAAAGATCTGTTGTAAAGATGTTCCAATTAATCCAATTTATTAAAAGGAAATGTTGAGACTCAAATTTTCTGTACTATTTCCTTAATACTCAATTTCACTTAGCTCGTGCCTACAGGCTCAAAAACAATGGCCTTTCACCTTCCTGACTTTTCTTTGAACATTTATAACTGCTCCTTTGTCCTAAAGGCAATCAGAAAAGACAGTGATTAAAACATTATATGGTCTAATAATGCTATCTTCAAAGTTCAGTGAAAAACCTCTTTTGTTAAAAGTATAAAATTTGAAGAAATGTTGCTACATAAAAAATGGATAATATCTACTGAGGACTGAAGAGAATTGAGCTTGCACAGCCTAGTGAGTAAAGGGTGTTTGACAGGGGCAGAATAGTGAATCACAATGAACCGAAAACACAGCAAGCCTAATTCACACATCTCTCTGCATGGAAACCCAGATTTTACCGTTGTTTTGGTTTCCGTTTTTTGTTTTGTTTTTTTGTTATTACCCTGGAAGATAATTCAATTAGCATTGCACATGTCCTCACAGAAATTTTGAATCTTATGAATATAAAAATTGTGAACTTGGCCCAATTTTATTTTAATCAGTTTTTCTGTTTCCTAATTCAGGATTAACTTCCCAGGATACATGCAGAGATTTAGTAGCAAGAGCTACAGTGCGCACATTAAAATATGGAGAGTCTCAGCAGCAATTTGAGTTACGGAAATCTGGATTTGTTTACACAGACATGAAATGCATAACCTTTTAGTTCCTTTTCTTTTTATTTTTCAATTTGGAAAATCTGGTGCAACAACAAGATTGAAAAATAAAGAGATCAAAACTGTCTGAGGTAGTGTCTCAACTAAGAATCCCTTCTCCTAGCGCCACCCCCGGTGGTACTGAGAGACTCTCATGCTCATATTCTGCTCAGAATGACTGCGCTGCATTCACCTCACCAGATCAACTACCCAGTGGATCTCCACTCACATGCTGATTCCACTGTGGCCCCAACATCCGCTTCTCTTTTCACAGTCATTCTCCATACCCTGCTCCCTGGTCCCATTTGCTCCATTCAGGAAGTGGGCCTGAGTGAGTTGGGGCCATGTAAGAAAAGGGGGGCAGAAAAAGGGAGATGGCCCCAGCAAGTGGGGGCCAGTGAGAGAGGCACCAGTGCTCTCAGAGAAGGAGAGAAAATAAGCCCATCCCTGAAAACACTCATGAACAGACCAGGCCTGCTTTTGTAAGGCTTGCTGATCCTAGATCTAGATGCTTCCCCCAAGATATCCATTGTTTTGTGACTTCCAGGAGTTTCCTCTTGAAGGCAGCACACAGACAGACCTTCACGTGTCTTAGAATAGTGGAAGTGGGTGAAATTACCCAAATGACTAATGCTTGATTTCAATATCTTTTTCCACCTCTTCCACCCTTTTTTCATACCAAACTGACTTAATGTGCCATCAACCCAGCTAAAAGGAAAGTTCTATTGATTGCTTAAAATATCTGCTCTAGGAATTTGTTAGACATAGTAGTGGCCCCCACAGATATCCATGGAATCTGTGAATATACTGTCTTACATAGCAAAAGGGACTTTGCAGATGTGACTAAGATTTGAGATAGAGAGATGATCCTGGATTATCTGAGTGGACCCAACCTAATTACATGAGTCCTTAAAGGAGAAGAACTTTACCCAGCTGTGATCAGAGAACCAGAGAGATGGTGACATAAAAAGGAAGGGCTCAACCTGTTATTACCTTCTTTGAAGACGGAGGGTGGAGGTCACAAGGCAGGGAATGTGGTCAGCCTATCGAAGCTGCTGAAGGCAAAGAAATCGGTTTTCTCTTAGAGATTCTACAAAGGATTGAAGCTTGGCCATACCTTGATTTTAGCCCAGTGAGACCTGTGTCAGAGTTCTGACCCAAAGAACTATATGATCATAAGTGTGTTGTTTAAGCCACTAAGGGGATTTTGATGTGGTCATTTGTTACAGCAGCAATAGTAAACATATATAGTCTTCATCACCTCAAGCTTGGATTAGCACCACAGAAAATTTCCGATTTCTCCAGCCTCTCTAGTCTCCGGGTCATCTTAGAAGTTCTTATTCCATACACTCTTATCAAATATCAAATTTGACCTCTCTGTTCAAGAGCCTACAAATGGCATTTTTTCAGACCAAGTTCCTCTGAATATCAGAAGATCTGAGGTGCCTCCCCTGGACCTGTCAAAGGTGAGGCTGGAAGGTTAATGAATATTGCTGAAGCTAACTTGAAAAGATTCCTGGCAGAGACAGGTGGGAATTTTCCAGGGATTTCATCATCAAACGTTTAACAATAGTAATACACTGGATGGTTTACGAAGTCTCACAGTGTTTGCCAGTTACACTGCCCTACTGATAAAAATAGTCGGTGTGCTGGACTAAAACCAGTTCTGCCACTCTGTCCAGAGTCAATCATACAATTAACCTCTGAACAAGGAACTAGTCAGTAAGGATGTTTACATGATAATACATTATATGGCCAATTTTCCAGTCTAATCAAATGCTTTTCAAAGATGAGAGAGACATGATTTGAAGGAGATCATATGAGCCAGAAGAGACAGCAGAATTCTAGCACTCAGTCCTTGAACAGTTTTCCAGTTTAGTCCATATAATCCCCCTTCCCCCAACCCTTTGTCTAGTCTTGCAATTAAAACTGTCAAATATATCAAGTTTCTTATTGCTCAAAATTCCACTTTATATTCTACAGTAAGTTTCAGACTTTTAATCCTATTTAACATTCGTGAGGCACTTTTTGTAACTTGCTTTAATGGTCTCCATTTGGCTTAACCAAAAAACAAGCAGATATTCTGACTGTTGCCTGGTCTGCAATTATTCTTAGTAAAAGTATGCTCCAAATTGATTACTAAGAACAAAGGCCTTGGCCCTGCCTCTATATTTAAGTAATGGAGTCTCTATCAAAACAGTCCAGAGTACAGTGGTTTCAGTAAAGCTAGTAATATTGGTTAAATGTAAAGGAATTCTTTCCAGCATGTCTGGATCCCAGCAGATTCTCTAGAAATCAATCCCCTAAGCAGTGGTTCTTAACAAGGAGCAAGCAACAAGAATCACCCTGGAGATTCTGAGCAGTTCTCTTGTAGTGGGGTTTGAACATGTGCACTTGGCCAAGCTTTCTAGGTGATTCTCTTGTGTACCTGGTTCTTAAGCCATCTGCTTTTATTTTCTTTACTTCCTGAAAACTCAATGATGCATTAAAATCAAATAACAATAGTCCTTCCCTGGGATGTAATTACAGAAATTTCACCTCCTGGTACTCCTACAAACACTGGCATAATTCAGAGTCAACTTTTCAATGATGATGATAATAGATTGAGCATTCAGTGTGTTAGGGAGAACTGTAGTTCCGAGTTTGTATATTAACTATTTTCATCCCCTCAAACTTTTGTAGTACGACACAGCAGTAACTTGTTAGTCCAAAGTAATTTTGTACCAGTAAATGCTTGTTTGGTGGACCAGCTGCTAGCTCCTTATTTAGCTCAACTTTGTGCCAATCTCACGATCTTCTTATATGCTTAAGATCCATGTGCTGCGTGTGTCTCATCTTTATGTTCTTCCCAACAGCCTGGCAGGACCACCTTTGTGGGGTTCGTAAGTTATGTGCTGGTTTCATGTTTTTATTTTATTTTTAAATATATCTTTATTGATTTCAGAGAGAGGAAGGGAGAGGGAGAGAGAGAGACAGAAACACCAATGATGAGGGAAACATTGATCGGCTGCCTCCTGCACACCTTTGACTGGGGATCGAACCCACAACCCGGGAATGTGCCCTGATCGGGAATAGAACCTCGATCTCCTGGATCCTAGGTCAATGCTCAACCTCTGAGTCACACCCAGCCAGGCTAGTTTAGTGTTAAATTGAGCTATAGATGCTCCCTAGGGGAACACAAGGCATTCCAACAGGCATGCCGATGGTATTATGGACCAAAGATTTTAAAAGAATGAATTTCCAAATAGTCAACATACGTATGTACTTTTTACTGAAATTGAGCTGCCTGTATACTAGTTCTCCTTTCCCACCTCCCTTGTTTCCAAAGGTAGGCACACATCACACATGCACACACACACACTATCACACACACACACCAGTTTTACTCTGGTGCTTTGTCCATGGTGTAAAAAATGGATATATTCTGGACTTGAAACAAAGAACTTCTAAATTTTGGTACCAGAACCCAAAGTACTACATTTCCTTGGCTTACAGATATTTCTAGTAAAAAAGAAGTGTGGCATGATGAATGAGGTATTTTGGCCTGTTTTGGAACATTCTGAATTCAGATCCAGTACAGCTGTGCAGTTGTGGAGAATTATGATTACTTTCCATTAATGTTCCCACCTCTTCCATTCCTGAATGACTGTCAAAGAATTTCATTCCCCTGGGGAAGAATTCACAAGTTTCATTCGAACTGACAAAAACTGAGATCATTCACCTAGCGGGGAGCCTCTCCTTAGGAAGTGTGAGCAAAAAGATAACGCCCCCAGGTGGAGACGTGAGATGCAGAAGGTAAGCAAAGAAAGTGATAAAAGTCTGTGTTTCAGTCCTTTAAATGGAGACAAAAAGTAGTGATGATGATAGTGCTTATTGAGATTCAAAAAAAAAAAGACACTTAAAAAACTAGACAGTCATATGTACGCCAAAGGAAGAGTTAACAGAGGAAAACCTTCTAAGGTCCTTGTATTATGTAGGAGAAAGGTGATAATTTTGTTTTAGATTTTAGACCCTGATGAATTAAGAATGCATGTTTTAATTTATCTAAAACAACAGAATTAGAGAGTAAACCTTCTAAATTAGTATAGGAGAAAGTGAAATAATAAAATAATTAAAATAAAATTTAAAGAAGGCAAGAACGAGGGAAAAAACAAAAAAACAATAGAGAACATCTGGAAAAAACAAAGAGACAACGAAACACAGAACATCTGAAATGAACCGAAGTTAAGCTGGTTTAAGTCCATCATGGAGCTTACATGCTAGTGGAGAAAACATGCATCTGAGAAGTGAAATAAGCAAACATGTAATTTCAGTATAGGCTATGAAGGAAAATCAAACAGGGTAAAGCATTAGGAGGAGGCTTGTTTTTTAGATAAGGGAAGATCTGAGAGAAAGAGAGAGAAGCAGCAAGACTCCCAGACCTTTTATCTCGAGCAGGAAGAAAGGTTGAGAGGGGAAGAGAAGCCTGGACTGAGGCTGCGAGGAGGGAGGCAGCCAGCGAGGTGGAAGAGGCCTGTGGCCAGGGAGGACCTGTTCCAACAAGGAGGGCCTGAGCGGCTGTGAAACTAAGAATACCTGGTTAACTGACTACACACACCTTCCCCAGGCTTGGGGAACGCAGCCAAGAGCAGGCTCAGCATCGGAGTCAGCACAGCCTCAACAGGGCACATAAACCGACAGAGTGGAGCGGCTAAGTACGCAGGGTCCAGGGCCTGACCAGCTGAAGCTGAACCCTGGCTCTAAGGAAAGAAAAAAACAATCCTCTCTGTGCTCCAGTTTCCCATCTGTAAAACGGGGATACAACAGCACTTGTTTCTTCCAATTGTGATTAAATGAGTTAGTATCTATAAAACAGAATAAACCTGGCGTAAAGTTAGCACCATGCAAGTCTTTGTTAAAAAGAGAGAGAAAAATCCCTATACGGCACAGTTCTCCCTTATCGGAGGGGGAGGCGTTCCAAGACCCCCAGTGGACACTTACAGTAAACCACAGAGAGTCTGAACCCTACATATAATGTTTTTTTCCCATACATATATGCCTATAATAAAATTTGATTTATAAATTAGGGGCAATAAGAGATAAACATATAATAGAACAAATAGAGTGTAATAAAATCATGTGAATGTGGTCTCTCTCTCTCTCAATATCTTACTGTACTGTGCTCACCCTTCTTGTGATGGATGCACTGGTGGATCATTCCATAAGCAAGGTGCTGCCGTGCTTTCTGACTGTGCTGCCAGAACACAGGCAGATGACTTTTGGCTTTGAGAGCGTGTGGGTCCTTTGCTATACACGATGCCTGGCTTCATCACGTGCCCTGTACCGCGGCCACATAGCACCAGGGTGAACCTGTCCCTCCATGTTTTATGCCGATGCCTCCTTTGCACTTTTATGAATGGAGGTTCCATGGGGTATCTTCTTCGAGAGTCTGGTTTCATCGCAATTGAAAACTGGCTCTGGATAGTATCCTTTCCTCTTCAACATCTTCGACTCTGCTGGAAATACGGCAGCAGCTTCTTCATCGGCAGATGCAGCCTCTCCAGTAATGTTTGTATTTTTCAGTCCAAGCCTGAATCTATGAAAGCATCCCTTACTTTGCAGCAAATGGCTCGGTGTCACTCGTTTCAGGGGGTCCCTCGCTGACGTTTGCCTGCAGGCTCAGTGCTTTCTGCTGCGACACGGTGCTGTCAACTGGAACACATTTTCTGTTCATGTCTTCTACCCACAAAATTTAATGCCTTTTCCATCTTAACTAAGCACTTATCACACACTGTGGCTGTAATTTTTTCAGTCTGAGGTGCAACAGTGAAATTAGCATGAGTTTCTTCTTACTTCTTCACAATTTCATGGATAGCAGATTCATTCTTACTGTTAGGTCCTAGCAACCTCAGCAAACGATTTATTTTCACTCCTTAGCAAGCTGAAAACTTTCACCTTTTCAATTAAAGGAAGCACTTTATAGCTCTTCTTTGGCATATCCGTACTCTTGGGCTTTGGGGCCATCAGTACGTAAAAGATTACTTGAACACAAGCACTGAGATACCACGACAGTCTATCTGATAACCAAGATGACTAAGCGACGTCCAGGCCGGGAGCGCATAGAGCATGGACACACTGGACAAAGAAACGATTCAAGACGGGGCAGGACGGCGCCCCACAGAGCAAGATCTCATCACACGACTCAGAATGGCGCGTAATTGTTTACCTCTGGAATTTTCCATTTATTTTCAGACCATGGTTGACAAGAGTAACTGACACTGCTGAAAGCTAAATCACAGTTAAGGCAGGACTACCGAAACGGCAGAGGCGGAACAACAACTTTGGTTGTAATGACTTGCACTTGCAACAGGTTTAGGTTGGCATTAGACTTATGTAACTGAATTAATCAACTAGACTGATGGGATAGTTGAATTAAGCAGCATGACTGAGAGGATAAATATATTCTGATAAAGAAATAGCATGAAATTACCTGTGATTGGGACATGTTTAGTTCTTTATTGTAGCATTGTTGTTTGTCACAAGAAATGTACCATTAAATACTTACTGGTTCAGAACTCTAACCTTGTTACTCCTTTCCAGTTGGATTATGCCCTTTTCTCTTTTCAGTTTAAAATAATCTCAGAAGAAAAGTGACAATAATAAGTAAGCACTTTCTGTATCCACATTAACAGAAGAAATAGCTGTATACTTTCTTGCTGCTAGGTATTGTAAGGAGCCAAACAAATAATTTTTGTGTAAAACATTGAAGTAGGTGCTTTGAAGGATTCATAAAACTTTATGACTCCTACTAATGTGAAAGATAAAATTATATACATGAGACAATTACACAATTAGAGTATATGGCTAATGAATGATATAGTGTTCTAAGAGATAAGATAATGCAGAGTTCACTACTGGCTGTAAGGACTTTTCATGAATGAAGTGTGATTTTTATCTGGGCCTGGGTAGTTACAATCGTTACATTTTAAGATATGCAAGGACTCAAATGATTTCTCTCCTGTGAACTTCTTTAGAAAAATACTAGAGAAAGTACTGCAACAAAATGGGGATGTAAAACTAAGAGAAAGATACTACGTTCATAAAACCAGGGCTCTAATACAAAAGAGGGGCAAGTCCCAGAAAGTCTCAGGATGACAGGTATTCGGCAGGACTAGAGTAGAGGGTCACTTGCACACATTGGAGCAACAGAATAAAGTAAGGGAAAGGAAATGGAACTGATAAGAGGATTTGATGTGTTTTAGTGTTTCATTTGCTGTGATAGATGTTTAAGGTATTGGATCTACTGGAGCATTTGATAAAAACAAGCAAGAGATGAATGAAAAACACTACCATCAAGGAAGACAAATAGAAAAACAAGGCAATTTTTAACTTGAGGGGCACAGGTGAAAAAATATAATCACGTCACATTTATTTGTCTCAGTAATGAATGATACTTACATAGTCACAATAAAGTAAATACAGTGGTACCTCGGTTTTCGAATGTCTCCGTTGACAGAACATTTCGGTTTACAAACACCGTAAACCGGGAAGCCAATGCTTCGGTTTTCGAACATGCCTTGGAAGTTGAACGCGCCATGTGGCTTCCACTAAGGGGAAGATCCTGAGGCCCAGCTGTCGACTGATGATCCCTCGGTGGGTTTTTGAATGTTTCAGAACTCAAACAGACTTCTGGAATGGATTACATTCGAAAACCAAGGGACCACTGTACTAGCTATTGGAAGAATGGCGTGGAGAAGGGGGTAATAGACTGAATCTCAATAACCTTAATTCATAAGATAATTTCTATGCCATTAAAAAAAATAGCAACATACAATTTAGAAATAGGTAGGTAAATTCCAGTAGAGTGCCCCCAAAGTTGGAAGTATTGCCTCTGAGGAGTGAAATTGTGCGAGGGGGTTGGACAGGGATGGCTGTTTTTCATTGTAGGCCTCGTAAAAGCATTATATGGAAAAAATACTTTGATTAAAAATTAAAGGACTAAACAGAAAAATCAAGACTTCAAGAAGTGATCATATTATACAGGAGCCCAATGGAATAAGCAATAGACATCTCTATCAATCATTCACATAACAAATATTTATCAAGCACCATTTCAGTCAGGCACTAAGCTAGACCCCAGAAATACAATGGTGAATGAAGACATGTGTGGTCCTAGCACTCATAAAGCGTATGCCTACTAGAGCAAAAAGTAAACAAGAAAACAAATACATAAAAGAAGTACAGGTTGCAGTAATAAGTGGTGTGATTAGAAAAAAACAGAAACAAAAAACCCCACACTCATTGCTGTGAATGGTGGTGCGGAGACAGGGCAGCTACCCCAGTTAAGTTTGTCAGGGAAGGCCTTTCTGAGACAATCTGAGACTTGAAACACATGAAGCTCATACCAAGGAGGGATGTGTATAGATTCCCAAGCCGGAAAGTCTGGTGGGTCTAAAAACTGTTCAAAAGCCACGTGGCCAGACCACCACCAGAGGGGAGCGGGATGAAGGCTCCAGATGAGGTTGAAGCAGCATGGCCCAGATCATGTTGCTATAGGTATAAATTTGGGCAGTCCGCAGGGTATAGGTAATACTTAAAGCCATGGGAAGAGAGAGCAAACAGTCTAACCCATAACCTCATCCAGGGGAATTCCAACATTTAGGAGCCTGAAAAGGTGGGGCCTGCCTGCAAGGAAAGGCACAGCAAGGAAATCTTAACGCTTCCCCAACAATGCTCTAACATTTCGGTCATCTTTCTAAAACTG